ATATATATATAAAAGACTGTGAGTATGTGTATATATGAGTGTAAGAATGAGTGTGGTATGCATGAGTATGTGATATACATGAATGTGCATGAGTATGTGTGTGTACATGATTTTGTCTTGGGTCATGAGTGTGTGTTTGTGTGTTGAATATTGTGTAATGGGGATATGTGTATGTATGAGTATTCCTGTACATGAGTGTGTGCATGTGTATGATATACATGAATGTGTGTGCATACACATGAATCAAGCTGTGCATGTGACTCTGTATGTGTATGTGTAGCTAGGAGAGTTTGTGTACCGAGAGTTCTCAAATACCTTGGTGGCCAAAAATGTATGAAGACCACAACCTCCAAGTCATCTCAAGAACCCAGCCTCCTGCTTGTATAAAAATATTTTGGTAGCCTTAAAACTGAGTTTACAATCTCTTTAAGGACCACACACATCCTCAATGAGCCAATAGCTGATCCTTAAAGTACTCTCTCTAGTGAATACCATGAGCTAACGCAGGGTTCAGGGCATTAACCCAGCCATCTATTCAGCAGACAGTTACTGTCTGTACACCACTGAAGGCACAAGTTCTAAGTATCAAAACTCTGGGTATGAAAGGGGGCTGACACAACACCCTGAGCGTTAGAGAAAGGAAGCCAACAGAGCTCTAGAACATAAACTCCAAAAGGGATAGAAGTGACTTTTTTTTTTTTTAAGATTTATTTATGCTTACAGAACTGGGGTACAGACCAAAGGTGTGGTGGGTGAGGGGATTTACCAGAGACAGAGTGGGGAGCAGAACATGCAGATCCATGTAAACTCAGTTTTAAGGTTATCAAAATATTTTTATACAAGCAGGAGGCTGGGTTCTTGAGATGACTTGGAGGTTGTGGTCTTCATACATTTTTGGCCACCAAGGTATTTGAGAACTCTCAAATATACTGCTGAGAGGAGCATCAGATGGGCCAGAAGAGGTTTGCCACGCCATATGGGGCAGCTCCCTGGCTGGGGATCAAACTAGTGTTGCAGTGGATTCTGAAAGCTTCAGTGTAGTGCTCTAACCCTTTGCACCACCAGTGAGAGCCCCTAAGTAACTTCACTTACCACTAGCTGCTAGAAGTCAGGGAAGCAGCAGTGACTCAAGGTATGCTTGCTTGCTGAGTGAACATTTACTGATATTTGTTCTATTTTTCAGGAATGAGTAACAGAGCACCTCTTGGGGGAAGCAAATGCCTACTAACTAGAACATAAAATGTATAGAAAAACTAAAGTAATAAAATTTAAATGGTATGGGGGAAGATCATTTTTGTCAGCAGAAATAATTGAAAATTATGTATCTGATAAGGGACTTGTATCTGTAATATATAAAGAATGCTTACAACTCAGTAAAAGGGGGAAAGAGAAAGGACCAATTTAAAAATAGGCAAAAGATTTGAAAATACATTTTTCCAAAGAAAATATGTAAATGGCCAGCAAGCATGTGAAAAGATGCCATTAACTGCACTGAGTGCAAATCAGGACACAGTAAGATAGGCAGCATTATTCATAACAGTCAAAAAGTAGAAAAATCCAGATAACCATCAACTGAGAAATGAATTTTAAATATGTGATCTATCCATATAATGGACTATTATTCAATCATAAAAAGGATTGGAGTACAATTCATGCTACAACACAATGAACCTTGAAAACTATGGTAAATGAAAGCAGTCATTAAAATAAATATATATATGTATATATATACACACACACATATATATATAATATATATATTATATATATTATATATATTATATATATATATATATATGTGGGGTGATTCCAGACAAGCAAATTTATAGAAACAGAAAGATCAGTGCCAGCCTAGAGCCAGGGAGGGGATGGAAAGAGGAACAGGCTGCAGAGGAATAGGGGTTTCTTTGGGAGATTATAAAATACTCTAAATTGATTAATATTCACAACTGTATATTATAAAAACCGCTGTACAGTACATGTTAAATGAGTGAATTATATGGTATGTAAGTGATATATCTATAAATTCTTAAATATAAAGGTTAGGTGATATTCATAAGAATGGCAAAGTAAAGACCTCAAAAACCCCTCTCCACAAAAGCAATGAAAACAGTGGCAAAAAATTGTCAGGTTCTACTTTCTCAGCACACTAGAAATTGACCAGTTTTGCAACAATCTGGGGTATAATGGTTTCTGTAATTAACTTAAATTAAAATGAGGTCATACTGGGATAGGGTGAGCCCTTATGCAGAATGAAGAGTTCTCAGAAGAAGAGGACATGAAGACACAGAAAGGAAATCACCTCTAAAGAAGTATGAAATTAATAAGTAAAAGCTAAAGGAAAGTATGAGATCAGAAAATAACTTTTAGAAGAACCAGATAAAAACTGCAGCTGAACAAACAGTTCAATAGCTGACATGAGAAATTCCCTAGAGCAGCATGGCAGCAGGTTTGAGTAGGCAGAAGGAAGGATCAGCACACCTGAAGACAAGTCAGATGATAAAGCATCCAATATGAGGGACAGAAAGAAAAAGAATGAAGAAAATGAGCAGATCCTCACAGATACCCTAAAAGGATACCATCAAGTGTATCCACAAAACCAC